CAGCAGGATCCAAACCAGAGTTTCATAACTGAATTTGGACTGTACGAATGCTGTGGTCCATGTTTCTCTTTCATCACTAATGGTTATACAGGAAGAAGATCAAAGATACATAAAGATGGGTGGGATACGTTAAATGGGGAAAACATTAAAGGCTGATCTGGCATTCAGAATTAAGTTTCAGACCTTCTAACTTCATACAAAATCAATTTGCCTGACCTTTTCAAAAGGTCCAAATCACATGAAAGCCAATCTGTTTGCACCTGTTAGAGTTCAGTAATAAAAAGTGCTCACCTGAAATATTTGAGATCCTTCACCTCGTACAATCTGGCAAGAAGAATTCAACTCAACCATTCCCTGAGGCTTGCAGATTATATCACTCTGGGGAGGGAACAGCAATTTTTGGTCAGCGATGAGTACAAAGGGTACATGGGACACTACATCTAAGTAAAACTTCCCCAATACATGGCTTGTATTTTAGGAAAAGGAAAGACAATGGGACATAAACATGCTAACACATAGGAAATAAACCTAACATGTAGATTGCAATCTTAAATTGATTTGGTAACTAGATTAATCCAATGAGAAATATATAGGTTAATGTGTTTTAATGACACATTGTTATTTCTCTTTTATTCAGATTACCACAATGTGAAATGAAGAAAATATTAAAGATGGCCTAAGGCTGATAACTTTTGTATTTATTATATCATAAATTATCTTGCATTGAGTCTCAGTGAGAAAGCCAGGCTATAAAGAAAATGCATAAATACACACACATTTGGGGATGTTTTCAATTGCTAGCAGACAAATAATTAAGTAGCCCAGAGACTCTTTTCTCCTTTCAGTTGCAAATAAAGAAGATGCATTTCTTTCCTGAGCCTTCTTCCTTACATCTGATCTCTTACCACTCAGGATTATGAAAGAACATATCGGCAAGGCATTATGGGAGATGGCTTCAGTGTATTCTGATTTATGTTGAAATGTTAAATTAAATAGAATGCTTGGCTAAACAAATCATGTTTCACTCCCTCTTTCACCCCAGCATGAGTATTTACTAGGAACTCACTGGGGATTTATAATACATGAGCTGTCCATTTCTCAAAACAAACCACCGTCTCTTCCATGTCTTCACCTGGTTGCTCATTTTCAACAAATAGCCAGATTTTTCCATGGGTTCCTAGGGGAGAAAAAATACGCAAATTATCCTGTGGAATGGCCAAACCTATACCCAGAAAATTCATGTTGAGTGGTCATAAGATTACACTGGAGGTGGTATGATTGGAAGATGCCCATAATCTTTGCCCTTGCTGTTAAGCAAGAATTATGGCCATCACCCCATCCAAAAGAAGAAAGGTGACACGCAAAGTTAAGCGCTTAAGTCATGTATCAGCCAGCGATAGGTCATTCAAGTTCCGCTCCATTACCTACTCTATTCCCAAATTCTCTTCAAAATCTGGAATTTCATATATGGACAAAAACACTGCCAACAGCTAAGGAATAGGGTGTGCAGGAATATTGCAAAGGTAAGAATGGCTCTGCAGCCAGACAAAGAGAGAGACACATTATCCTTCCCTTCCCACATCAAGACTTATACAGGCATCTCAGTACATCGGGAATTTTCAAAATGTCAATTTCTGATTTATGGGGATGTAGAGTTTTCTGGTTTCTGACATGCACTGGAAAGGCATTTATCTTTGTTCATGCAGCAAATATTAAATGTCTTATATTTAAGTCCAGTCCACAATGGAGATTGGGGGGGCATCATAGCTTACATTGTAGCCGCCACCATCAGTGGAATAAGAGGATGTCCGCTGCAGTTTGTGCTCTGGTTCAGAATAGTCTTCGTCCAAGGAATAGGCATCAGGGGGGATGGCATAGTCACTCTCTGAGCTCAGTGAGGATACAGAAATACCTGCTAGAGAAGAAAAACAGTGGGGGGAAATTCATATGTTGCATATTCTTACTTTGTATGCTGAATGCTGTAAGGGGCTGATTCATACACGCATGTATATCACTCAGTCTCTCTCCTGGCAGTTCAGCATTCAGCGACTTCCAGCTGAATAAATGCCTCCATTGAGGAACAGTGCATTGAAACATGGACATTAACACACATACGAAACACTTTAGGCCTATTGTTATAAATGGAGACTGCTGACTTCTGTTTACAAAGTATAATATAAAACAATGGTTGAATTAACAGTTATGGGCAGTGTTCCTCTAAGCAGTGGAGTCTTGTGAGCAAAAATTCTACTTTGTGAGCTACTGGCATTAAAGCTGTGAGCAAATAATTTGGCTACTGCATAAATTAGTTTGCTCTGGAGCCATCCTTCCTGAGCTGAGACAAAAATGTGAGAGCCAGAAGCTAAAAAAACTGTGAGCTAGCTCACACTAACTCAGCTTAGAGGGAACATTGGTTATGGGTTAGCTTAAAACAAACAAACAAACTAGACACAAGATGAATACAGAAATTGAGAAGAAGTGCCCATTCTGCCCTTGATGGATTTTGCAACCGTGAACTATGGGAGGGAAAATAGAAAATGTTGCAAATTCTGGCAATTTGTCATATCTGATAACCTGGGTTCAGATCCTGCATTGGAAGCTCTGAGACTAACATGGGAGCTGCAGTCATCATCAGAGCAGGAAGACTCATCTAAGAAAGGAACATTGCTGATCTGGGTTGCTTTCTAGAAAATAAGCCACTAAAGTCAGAATGGAAGGCAGATGTCCCAGTTTAATTATACCATACAAATCAAGAGAAAGCACCAAAGGAGTTACATTTTGCCAACTCTGCCCTTAGCCCCAGACCAAAAATCAATAAGCTCTATAGCTGCTCATCCTATTCTCCTGGGACTTCCAATTCATTTTGTTTGTGCACAAGAGACTACAAGTGCAACTAGAGCTACTATTTTATGTAAAATGCCTCATTTGTCCAAACATGCCACAGAAAAGTGTGTAAGACTGGCATGCATTGTTAGTGTGGCATTTCATGGATCATGACCCTGGAATGTGTTGACCGTACTAATTTTGTTAGCAGCTAAGATATTTCGAGGAGAAAAACAGCCTGGCATGGGGAATGACTTAACTTACGGTAACTACCCTGATCAGCATCACTTTTGGTGGCTTGAAATCAGTCGGCCACTTTTCACTACAGTTCATTTTGCTAGTGCCATACCCCTCTTTCTGTGACCTGAGAACACTCTCACGTTACTATAACATTATCCTGAGGCATTTCTCATTTCACCTACACACATAGAGCAGTATTTACTTGAGGGCTACATCCAAACCTTTTAATCTGAAGCAATGTCAGTAGGAGACATTCCAGCCATGTTGGAGGCAAAGGCATGCTGCCCCACTGAAACCATAGTAGAAAGTATTTACTGAGTGCATGGCTCTCTTGGTATCCTAGAAGGAGGGGATGTGGCTGAGGATGACTATTGGTGTGTGACAAATCAAGCCTGAAGTCTGTGATGGGGCCACTCTGCTGCCATAACATGCTACATATGCAGCTCTCCACTGCTTTGGTGCAGTTCTGCCTCTGGTACAGTGAGGCAGAGAGCTTGCAGAAGGTCAATATGGGAGAGGAAAAAGGAGGCATAGACTTCACTTTATTCCATAAGCAGGCCCAGGATACTGTTGTTCTTGCACAGGACCAGGGCTTTTTTTCTGGGGAACTGTGCCAGAATGGAGTTCTAGAACCTCTTTGACAAAATTCTTTTTAAAATGTTTAAAAGTTAATGAGTTTTCAGTATACAGAAAACTTCATTTCCCTCTTGAGACTTCAGGCACCTCTTTTTCCAAGAAGAAGAGGAGGAGGAGGAGGAGCCGCCCAGCACAGGACTACAACAACTCCTTCTTGTCTGTGCTACAGGCTGGTACCCATGCATTATACTTCAAGGAGGGGCAACATTTGGGGCAGCTGTCCAATATTTTCTGCCCATTAAATTAGCCACAGTCCACTGTTTCAGGCAGCATCTTCAGCCTCGTAGCACTGCTATTCCTAATAAGATGTCTAAAATCCAGCCTCTATTTGAACTCTGGGATTTATCTTCATTTTTCATCTTATCTCCTTCTCTCTATAAAAGCCTCCCATATCAGTGTATACAGTGAAGACCCAAACCTTCTTGCAACCATGCTAATATATATTGTTTTCAGAGGGACAAAACTTGGGGGATTTAACCACTCGCTTAATTTCTCTTCCTTCTATTAAAAGACTTGTTCCTAATGTAGCTCTTTGCTGGCAGCCAGAATATAAATTCTAAGGATCTACCAAGGTCTCACTCCTATTTGTTACTCTCCGCTGCAGTTTTCACAGACTTGTCCACCTTTCCCAATTTCCCCCTAACAGAGAAATGTGAAATGGTTCCTTACCCCTTTTAGCATAGTGTAGACAGGCACTGTAACATTTCTGTAAATGAGGCAGGTGAATGGCCCAGGGGATGAATACGTCAGAGCCTTTGAAGCTGAGTATTGTTTTATGTTTAAAAGAAAGAGAATAAAGACCAATGAAAATATTAATGGAAGTATTAGCATTTAGCTAAGTGGGGATTTCAGGGGTGTACATTGATGTGGCAACAGGGAACATGAAAAAAAATCAACAAGCGATCAAGAAGTTATTAGGAAATGGGCATTCATCATTAAAGTCGAGGATTAGCTACGGAAATAGTCCCCCCCCCCCCAAATGCATCCTCTGGAACATTCGATTTGTTATGTATTGCATTGTATATAACTACTATGTGAACTGTGCCATTGAGACTTGATTGTAAATACTGATGTGTGAATCGCCTGATTGAGATGCCATGTTGAGCTTCATCCTGGGCTAGGATCCTAGTGTAACCAATAGGAGCCCTAGCCCAGAAAGTGTCTGCCAATCACCGTGCAGAGCGGGATCGCTTGTGATTGGTTGTTATTGCTTCAACCTCATAGGTTGCCTTATTGTACAGGGGGTGTGGCTACATTAGCCGGGACTGTTTAAATATAGAGCAGCCAGTATATGTGTTGGTTCGAATGATGGGTTCTGGCTGGCGATCGTTGTACCGTACCGGAGAAGTATCAGAGCTGAAGAATAAACCGCATTCTTGCTGAATCACTCTCCGACTTCTTTGTTAAGCGCACGACTTAACACACTATCTATTTGTAAACCAGAAAGGAGAGTGCCAAACTGGGAGGGTGGGAATCTTCAGGCAGCAAAGGAAAGCTTTGTGTAAATACATAAGCAGCCATAATTATTTCCTGGCTCTCCTATTAAACTGCCTGTGATGAGGCTCTAGTGCATGTATATCTTTCATTCTGTTCAGGAATATGCCTGCCAGAACTAGCCAACTGCAGAAGTTGTAAACCCTGAACCACATGGCAGAGGAATGTTCTGGCTGAGGTATAGCCAACCCAAGGAACAATCCTAAGCAGGTCTTCTCCGAAGTAAGTATCATGTTATTCAATGGAGCTCACTCCCAAGAAAGTGCCTTTAGGAATCAGCCTACTAGTGTCATCCTAAGCAGAGTTACACATATATCTTTAAGGTAACAAAACAATCAGTGCAGCATACAAACTTATATGTTTAAGGCAAGAAGACAGCCATGGTATATATCCCTAATAAAAGTCACCTTCTCAACTGAACCATAACACTACAGCTTTGCTCCTTCTACAGGAATTCTGTTTTGTACATTTTACAAAATGATAGAAGTATGGGGCCTTCCTATTAGCCTCAGGCAGACGATACCACAGTTTAGGAGCCATCACAAAGTATGTGTGTGAATGACCAATTGCCAATTTTACATTGTTTGCAGGATGGCATCTTCAGAACACTTTGCCCAGATAAGCAGAATTTGGTCCTTTCCACATTGGTCTGCCACTCCAGATTTTCTCTGTGTTCGTGTCAAGGCAATGTAAGTCCACGGCAAAACAGCATCCAAATACTCCAGGGCAATAGCAGGCTGAAACCAGGGTGACCACTGAAGGGAGGTGATGTAATGCAGAATGGGCAAGAAAGCCAGAATAAAAAGGAGGTTGAACTCGATTTTAGTGCAGAATGGGGGGAAAACCTGGATTGAATTCTATTTAAGTGCAGAATTGCTTGGAGGACACCGCGGTGAACATGGATTAAAAGGAGAGTGCAGAAAGGGCCTCACGGTCACACACACACTAAATAACCCACTTTCAATCCACTTTCCTACTGTATTTTGCCAGTTCACATAGTAAAATCCAGTTGGAAAGTACACTGAAAGTAGATTGAAAGTGGATTATTTAGTATGTGTGACTGCAGCCTTAGAGGGGCATAACTCTGCTTAGAATGATACTATAAGAGCAAGCTGCTTCTTATCTCAGAGTTCTTAGGATGTAGCACCAGCCTCCCCAAAGTGTCCTCATTCATTGGGTGAGGAATTCATTGGGAGTGGAGAACAAAAGACAAAACTAAACAGTGAGTTGGTATAAATGGCACTCGCTGTTCCTGGGATGCATTCTGCAAAACAAGTTGGTGCAAATGCATCCTGTGAAGTTTGCTTGTATCCATGAGCTAGCCTTATCAACTAACACAAGCTACCAAATGTGCTTTAATTCAGCCTGTAGTAATCTACCAACAGAAGCATTTAAATTCCCAAGTGTTTAAAAATACCATTGGAAATACCAGCTTTACAACAGTAGCATGCATCTCTGGGGGAACTAGTACTTACTCTGGCTAGAAGAGTCATTCCCCAGAGCCACTTCTGACACTCTCATGCCACACTTGGCTACTGCATAGATACGACTCTCCTAAAACAAGGGTGGAAAAAAACTCAGAGGAAAAGCAAATCAAAAACAAAATCCTCTTCAAGCTTCAAGCAATCTGGGTTGCCTTGATCATTCTTCATACCCTGTTACCTTTCCTCTCATTGTGTTCTGAGACCAATAGCAACTCAGTTACAAACAGGTATCTCACATGACACAAAACTGTAAACTCTCTGTTGAACAGGAAGGAAGACATTATCAGTGTCATCCTGAGCAGAGTTATCCTCTTCTAAATCCACTGAAATCAGGGAGCTTAGAAGGGTGCAGCTCTGCTTAGGGTGGCACTGGAAGGAAGGAAGGAAGGAAGGAAGGAAGGAAGGAAGGAAGGAAGGAAGGAAGGAAGGAAGGAAGGAAGGAAGGAAGGGGTTTTAGCTGCTTTGCAACAGAGAAGTAGAAACTGTGGTTTAAAAATTCAAGTCACACATATTACCTTTCTAATGTATTCTCTGAAGTGCTTGAAGATGCAAGGCTCAAACAGCCTTAGTTCACCTAACTGTGCATCATAAATTAAAGATTGGCTTCACTGTTATGAGTATACTCTCCAAAGGGAATGGAGATAACAATTAGGAATGTAGCACCCTATTTGTAATAAATCATTGTACAGCCCTTTAATTTATGTCTTGACTTTTTGGCCATGAAGCATCACACTTTGCCATGTTGTCTAGCATATCCATCAGTTCTCATGCTTAAAATGAAGACTGCTGTAGCACAAGACTGCATGGGGCCAGGCAAGAACTTTCCATAGTCAACACACACTTCACAATTTTCTGCCCCTCCCCAGACCCTATTTCCCTTCACCACGCAACTTTCTTCCTTTGTACTACTGCCTTATTTTGCAGTTAGGAAAGAGGTCATAGCCTAAACCTGGGGTGGAACTTACATCTAATAAATACCATCTGATTATTGCATAAAATAACAAAGTCTCTGTAATTTATATAATTAGTCAGTTTCAGTGGAAACTGTGAACTTGGTTTTTCAAAGTATAGAAGTTTGATTTTAAACTTGTGTTATATGTTATCTCCCCACTGACAGTGATTCCTGATCAATATCTTACCCAAGATGGAAATCTGTGCAAGGGAGGAGTGGGGGGTTTGTCTCCCGGGTCCCTTACATTAGCTTCAGAAGTCCCCGTCTCCTTGCTTGAACAAAGGTTCTGAGGAGTCTCTTCGCCCATCCCTCCCTCCTCCATCAGAGAGTCCTCCATCTCCATCTTCTCTGCTACCTCTTCATCGATATCTGTCTCTTCCACCTCTCTCTGGAATTGCTCAGGAGTTCTTACAGGCTGAAATTTGCTGATCTCAATGTTTACCGCATGATCAAAACAGTCAGTTCCTGACTGAGGTTGGCTATAATGCCTCTTGGCTAACTGGATGCTGTCCCTTGGATTGCTTGGAGACCGAGCTTTTGGGAGAGTCAAACTGCCACCTTCCCTCCTTGAGAAATCTGAGGGCACTGAAGTGATGGATTTTGACAAGTTCAAGGCTGGAATGGATGGGGAAACAGAACAATCAGAAGCCTTTGCTATTTCCCTGGAGGACAAATCTAACCTACGAGTATGGAATGTGGTACTCAGTTCATCTGATGGATTGTACAAAACAGATGCTATCTTGCCCAAGTCACTGATGGACTTTTGAAGTTGTTCCAGAGGGGACTGTAAAGTCAAAGCTCCATGAAATTTCATAGTACCAGTTTGGTGGTTCAGTGATGTTGTGCAGATTCTTGGAGATGCTACAGAGACAAAATCTTTCTCGGACGAATTCTTGTCATGTGAGGAGTCAGCAGTAAATTTCAGTGAGCTCTGGGAAGGCACTGATGTTTCAGTCTCACCTCCCACACAGTAGTCATCCATAAAGACCACACTTGTTATAGCTTTTGCAGATACACTCTGATAGACCTGCTTGATGTCCACTGAGAGAAGCCTGGAATCCTGGTCTGAGTTCTCGAGGAAGGGTGACAGTGGATCTCTAGGTAGCTGAACATTACAACTTGAAACAGATGGAGTTGTTGTATCTACAATTGGGAGCAAAAGACAAGCAGAGTTTTTCATCTGGAGGCTACTCAGTATGACTTACTTTTGCAAAATGCATTCCAGATATTTATGTACTAATCTAACAAGGCTCTTTGAATCCAGAAGCAGAACATTCATTCAGCCACCAGTTCTATAAGTAGTAATGTTGCTTGGTTTTTACATATTCCTTCAGGGAACTAAGTCATCTGATTGGATAGGAATCCTGTATAACCTCTATGGGTCAAACTAGTCCTGGTCAAGATTTCTCTGCTAAGAACTGTATGATTCAGCCTTTGACTCTGTCCTTCCTTACTCTTTGCAATGGGCTGCCACATGGCTTTGGGATACTTGCATCAGTATATATACTCAACACTGCACTTCAGTCATTGTAATAATCTACACAGCATTTTTCAAGTATGCAAAAAGTTGCATATATATGATCTTACTAAGCTTTACAGCATCCCTATCAGATATGCCAGAATTATCACTCCCATATCAAAGAGAAGGGACTGAGGCTATTTATGGCTTGCTTAAGGCTACCTGATGAGATCATGGCAGAAGTGAAATTTGAATTGGGGGCTTCCAAACGTACAGCATGAAAAGGTCTGACAACAGAAAAATTGGGAAATTTGGGGAGTACTAGGAAAAGTTAATGTGCTATCATATGTTTAGTGATAATAACATTATTAAAGATTTCAGTTTTTTCAATGTTATAAAGTTTACCTTACTATCCAAACATGTTGGTAGTTCTACCTTTTGTGACTCTATGAGAGAGTTTCTGTACAAATAATACACTTTCTTTGGATTTCTAAAGAATTTATTTTCTTCCTCCTTTATTTTTTCCTACCTTTCATATGGCAAAAAATTAAATATATATGTGCTAATGGTAGCATAGGGTGCAGCAGTCTGCAACTCTTTCTCAAGTACTGGGTATACTTGTAATTTTTCTTATAAAAATTATTTTCTTTTTAAATGCCATAAATATGCCAATAGTACAGGTTTATATGCTAACTAAGGTATAAATGAGGCATTCCATGTTGTTCAATCATCAAAAGAAGTTTAGGTTTGATACACAATGCCTTTTCTATATTTCAATTTTTGATGACATTTCCGAATTCTGCTCTAGCATTTCTAGAAGATTATTTATTTATTTATAGTCCATCTCTTTCACTAGGGCTCAAGGTGGATTACACTCAGTGAGTCAATACAATCAACAAAATGGGACTTTCAATTACAAATAGGATTTGGGTTGTAGAACTAACAAGAAGTCTAAAAACAGAACTGAAGCAAGGCATAAGTGTTAACATGACACACTGAATGATGCAAAAATTGCACAACAGGATTCAACCCACAACAAATTGTACACAGGAGTACAGACCACAATCCCCAATAATTTATATGAGTAACTTGTGAAGTCTTTTATAACAGTGCTACCCTATTGCCTGCACAGAAAAGGCCTCTTCAATCATTCAGTTTTGCACAGTTTGCGGAAAGCCAGGAGAGCAGGAGCCTTCCTGACCTGTTCAGGCAGGCCATTCTACAAAGTGGGAGCCACAACGAAGAAAGCACATGCATGGGCAGTTGTTCGTTTTGCCCATTTGTAGGTTGGCACCTGCAGAACATAAACTTCTCAGAGAACCTTCTTTCACTAAACTACTGTTCTTGGTACTCTTTCTACCTTTCAGTCCAAAGCCAGTCTACATCCTTTTAAACCTACACAGACTGGTCTAAATCTAATCATGCATATTATAGATTACCATAGTCAGTTACAGACAGCAGTAGTCAGATAATAGCCTCACAACATCCCTAATAGCACTTACAAGTCTACTCTGAGCCATAAACTAGAAAAAAAATCCCCTATCAGTATACTGAACGGCAAAATTTCTTCCTGACGACCAAAATAGATGATTAAAATGGCAAAAGACTGTCATCATCACTTTGTCTGCAATTTTCTAGCAGTTAAACCATCAGAAGAGATGCCTGGAAGAGATAGATATATGCTTTGCCACTGCACTGGTTAATTTCTAAAAAGAGATATGCTGGGGCTTATAACTGTCTGAAGTTTGCATTCTCCTATTCAGAAGAGCTTCCTGTTTATTCCAAACACACTTATATTTGTATGAATTGTGGGGGACAGGTTGTGCCTGTTTGGAGAGGAGGGACATACTCTCCACAAATGCTCAAAGCCAATGTTGTCTTTATTATTACTTGTCACATTCCAGAGCTAAGCACTGGCATGGAAGATACATTGCAGAGTTAAGCCCTGGTTAAACCCCCTCCCCACAAAAAACCCTATTCAGGAGCCTCCGAATTGACTCAGGGGATGATTTAATACAATTATGTGTGGAAGCCAATGTATTATTCAGAACAGTCTGATCAGTGGCATCTCAGAACACTTAATACCAGGTTATTGTAGCAACTGTCTCATTCTGTAAACATTCAGAGCATATGATGACAACCTGCTTACAAAGCTTCCAACTGGAAGACTGCGTGCATGCACTCGTAGAGAAAGCAAAAGCCTAGTGGATGGAGAGGCATAAATACATGCCAATTAGGGTTTTGCAGCACAGAATTTACACCCTGCCATTTCCCTTGCATTCGAAATGTTAATTACATTCTGGTGAAAATCACTGCCTTCAGAAGGAAAAGATTTGATTAACTACAAACTAGGTGAATCACAGACAAAGCAGGCTTTTTTACACAGTGGGCTTCAAGAGCTTACATGTAGTAAGGAAATACATGACCCATGGCTCACCACCATGTTGAAATCTATGTAAAAAGGTAATCAGTATAGGAAAGTGTGATGCTGGAAGCAATCCTAAGTGGTTTGAAGACTACAGCCTTGAACACAGCGAGACAAAGGTAGAGCCATGCTTTATGCGGCAAACATAAATGCTGTGTGTACACTGACACTGCTGTGGCACTTTAAACACCCATCTACATGTAACTAGAATAGCTGACAGGACTGGGGCTCCATGATAGGTGTACACTGGTGCTTAAAAATAAATATGTTACCCATACTTTATTTGTTAGCTGCAAGAGCTACTGCTGGAACACAATATTCTGGACAACCATGCCTACTGTCCTCCATGTATTAGGACTGGACTGATAGTGAACTTTTTATGTTTTAAAGTGTTAACAGCCAGGTGTCAAAGTAGCATCCACTGAACAATTACAATCCATAGTCAAGTAGACTCCTGAATTTCACAAGTGACCATCAAAACCCACAGGATAGAAGCCACTAGTTAGAGGCATCTGAATACCTGGCACCAATAAAACATGGAGTTGGAATTCACATTGCAATATCCTAAACAACGGCTGTATGAAACTCCTCTTGTTTATCTCCATGCTGCTAAAAATGACTAACATTGCAGGCAAATAATGCTAATCAGCATTTTGGTGATGCATCACTACTGAAAGACATGCCCATCCTAAAGTTAGTGGATCTTCTGCCGTTAGCACAAATGGTATGGAGACAGAAATAAGATTTTATGGACATCATTTATTTATTTCTCAAGTGAAAATATTTTCAAAAATACTTACAAGATGAAAAGTGGAAACACTGCTTGATGTTCATGCTCCCTCTGTGCACTGGAGACTGTTACTATTGTCAGACTGGCAAAGAGAGAGTTGCAACTTGTTCTTAACTACTTAACAATGTGATAGCAGGAGCAGAACTGAGGATTCTTGCTTCCAGTTTTCCTGTTGATTCCTACACATTGGCCCCTGCCACACGGCAGGGAAAACACGGGCCAAAGCGCGGCTTTTAAAAGCCGCGCCAAAAAAGAAACACCGTGGCGGGATCCCACGGATCCCCTGGCCGCGGTGCCTTATCTCCCCGGCGCGATCAGATGCCGGGGAGAAAACACAGTTCCGACGGTGAGGCTGCTGAACTGCGCATGTCGGAGCATGCGCAGTTCGGATGGGGGCCGGGGATGCGCCGGCGCAAAGACGCGCCAGCGATCCGACGGCCCGGTTGAGGCGCCTCATCCAGATGAACCACCTCGGTAGGTGGTTCCCAGTTGATGTGGAGTTTCGAGGGGAAGGGCCGGATCGGGGGCGGAAGCACTACACTTCCCAGATGTTGTGGTGTGATCGCGGCCGTTTGCTCCGCCACCGATCTGTCCCGCTCCCGGCCCAAATCCCCTAGTGTGAACGGGACCATTAGCAATCAATTAAAAAAAACAACACACATTTACCCTGCAAAGCTTTCTGAAGTGCTTCAATCTCCTCTGTCAGCCTCAGGTTGCAACTCTTGAGGTAATGGTTTTCCAGCTCAAGCTGTAAAACAGTGGAGGGAAACAATGAAAAAGAATAATTCAAAATAACTGTCATTTACAAAGATCCTGTTCAGATCTTTTAGTTAAATTAAATCTTTAAAAAATAAGATCAATTTAATCAAAAACCTTTTAAAAAATCTTGCTACTAAGAATAGTCCTTTACCCTGTCTCTTTGCAGCTAGACACATTGACATCTACTTAGCTCAATGAAGCTGAACTCACTTAACTAAATCACTAAATAAGTTCAGAGATTGTACTATAAACTTGAATGGTAACAGGGCCAACTCAACAGCCTATTGCACCAGAGAAGAAGAGCACAGAACTGGACATTATGGTTTGGATGCAAAGTCTCCCTACTGTAAGAGAAAAGGCCATGAGCAGAGCTCTGGGAAGCCAGCATATATTTTTTCTATATAAATAAAAAGAGGCACTTGTGTGATGCAAGAGAAATTTTGTTGATCAACCTTTCTTACTGCAGATAGGGTTACCAAATCTGGGTTAGAAAATTCCCGGATATTTGCGCATGACAGCACCCGTGGGTAGGGTGGAGTTGGGTAGGGAGGGACCTCAGCAGGGATATAATGCCATAGAGTCCATCCTCCAAGGAATCCATTTTCTGCAGAGGAAATGATCCCTGTAATCCAGAGAGCAGTTGTAATTCCAAGAGATCTCCAGGTTGGCACCCTTAACTGCAGACCCCCACAACATTATTTTCCAGGGTCTTCTGGAAGGTCCCCCAAGTTCTGAGGACCTGTTTTGGGAGAACACACAAACTGCAAAAGGAAAGGGAAATCTGAAAAGCCCATTCAACTAATGGAGCTCTGCTTGTGGTCCTTTGAATCCAACTCTCTATCTCCTCAAATTTCACCTAAAAGCCCTCCTGGCGACAGTGTCAATGCAGTGGTTTTCCCAAAGATCCTTAGACAGGACCCTTATGAGTAGAGAGGTGACGGAGCCAGGAAACTGGGGTGGGGGGGTGGGATCAATATAGCCATTCTGCCATGGAAGCTTGCTGGGCAACCTTGGGCCAGTCAAACACTTACAGGGTTGTTAGAAGAATAAAACGGAGGAGAGGAAAAAGGTTCCCATTGGAGAGAAACGTGGGGTATAAATGAATGAATAATTTCATAAGGGGTAGTGCTGGACAGCTGCCAAGTAAAAGATGGCCTAAAAGCCCATTTTTGTGCCAATGCAGTTGTGAAAATACATAGGGATGTAAAAAACAATCAACGGCTCTTTAGTATTGTTCCTAATAAATAATTCTTTTTTTTTTGTTTTAATGAATGCTGTATTGCTGTTGTTCATGCAGTCAACACACACACTAATAAATACTTCAACCAATACAGCTCAGAAAGGATGAGACAAAATGACCACCTCTCTCAGCTTAGCTGTCACCCAGTCCTTAATTTTGGCGGCTTTCTCTTGAACAATTTTAGCTTCTTGTGCTCTCAATTGCTTCTGTGAAAGAAAGAAAAAAAGACAAGTGTGTTAGAAAAGTGCTAGAGTCAATTTGGTCTCAGTTATTCATACATGTGCTTGAGTACCCTTTCACAAGCTATCTTGCTTGTGCAATTGTAAGGGATATTCTGAAGATCTTATGGACTTTCACCCAGGTATGGAAGTGGGGAAAGGGCGCAAGCTGCCTGAAGGCCCTACAATGCTGAGCACCCCCGAGGTTATGCGTTGGTTCATATTGCTTAAGGTTAATAGACAAGGAGCTGCGGTGGCTCAAGTGGTTAAGACGCAGAACTGCAGGCTGTGGAAGGTCGGTAGTTCAGCAGTTCAAGGCCCGAGTGTGCCGCATGACGGAGTGAGCTCCCGTCTCTAGTTCCAGCTCCTGCCAACCTAGCAGTTCGAAAGCAAGAAATTGCAAGTAGATAAATAGGTACCACTTCAGTGGGAAGGTAACAGCGTTCCTTGCGCCTTGGTGTTTAGTCATGCCGGCCACATGACCACGGAAACGTCTTTGGACAGCGCTGGCTCTTCGGCTTTGAAACGGAGATGAGCACCGCAACCCTAGAGTCGGACTCGACTGGCTTTCGAGCAAGGGAACCTTTACCTTTACTAATGGACAAGGAAGACTGTCCAAACTTTCACCTTCAGGGCAGTGGCTTACGGCCTAGTCCCAGAATTCCATGAAAACGAGCTGGACATGGGGACAATCAACAGCCTTGAGTGAAAGGGAGGAGGAAGAGAAGATTACACTCAAACACCCACTGCATTACTACCTTGCAGTATATTCCCTGTAGATGAGCCAAAGTGATTCCTTTGCTGAGGACTATAAATTGTGAGGGACAAGAAGCAACTGCAGCAGCCTCAAGCGGGAGGAAACAGGAGTGGATGTCTACCCCCCCAACACCCACTGAACAGCTAATCTGGTGATCAAAATGAGCAAAACAAAAAATCAAAAAGACTCAAGACTATGTGACAATCATGTCAAAAAGTGCCTTGAACTAAATTTATGCCAATAACTGGAAAATCTATTTCCACAAATATGCACTATCCTCAGAATATACTCAGCTGCTACCGTATCTTGGTTACATCAGGCAAGCATACATTTAGAAAACTGAAACTGATGGTAAAGTATCTCCCCCATGTGTCACCAAGCAGAGCTTCTGATTGGCCACTGGAGATCTGATTGGTTGTGCGGATTAGGGTTGCCAGACCTTTCACTGGCGGTAGGCCTCCGGCTGGCAACCTGCTTTGCCTTCCACCTCTTCAAGGGGTAGCAATATAACTGGCACTGACCACAGTGGTAAGAATAAATACAAGGGGAAAAACACAACACTGTAACAAAGACTGTGAATTTTGCAAACACATGAGGGTAGGCATTCCACTTTAAAGGTCGTGACTGCACTTATGCGGAATGTGTGATGGATTACTTGATTCCATTTGAAATTTCATCTGAATATGGGCAATTCTTGACAAAGATCTTTTGAAACAGATTTTTTTACCGGACATCCATTGAATCCTGCCCTGAATTTCTTGTGAATTTCTTGTCTATTTGCATGGTGGAAAACCTTATTTGTACCAATTGACCAGTTTGTTATTGCTCTATGCTATATACTCGATGGAAGATTGTAATTGATTTGAATATAATATATATTTTCGAGATAGTTATTGGATTCACAGTCTTTGTTACAGTATTGTGTTTTTTTTCCTTGTACCACTACAAGTGGTGACAGGAGAATTTTTTTTAAAGAACTGTTGAAGGGATGTGTGCTGTGACATCACTTCCAGGGAGAACCTGGAAGTGATGGTAGATAGCTCTAGGGAACACTGGGAAAGCTATGGTTTTACTATGGATCCTGGTGATTCCTAGACCTACTCGCCATCACTTCTGTCACAGCACACGTAACACCAAAAGTCCTCCCATGTTTATTATGTCTGTTTTATACTATTGCAAATTGCTCCAAGCCCCACTTTGTGGGGGAGAGGAGATAAATAAATTGAAATAACATATATGTAAATAAATGCCCCTCAGCTCCTGCCAGTTGCCAGACCAGATTAAAATAACGTTTTGGCATCAGCTGCTAGTGTTGCTGTTTTCTTTTACTCATCTTTCCCAGTGTGTTTTTAAATCGTATTCCTCTTGTTCCCTGCACTTGGGCTTTGTGTGTGTGTGTGGTTGACTCTGCCTCCCATGGCAGCCGTCTTGTGGCTGAGCCCACCACCCTGTATCAGAATTCCAAAGGTTCCCACAGGTTCAAAAAGGCTGGAGCCTAAAATCTACCACAGGGTGAGCAAGTCTAGGGGTGCGTTCAGACGGGCAGCTAATCCCGCCATTATGCCGGCTCAAATTTGATCCCGGTCTTTTTAATCCGTCCTCGCATGACCAGACATCCCCCGGGGGAATTGCCTTACCACGCGCTGCTTCTGCTGTGGATTGTCTAGATGGCATCCACTGAAGGAGGCGCACGGTGTTTTGGTTTTTTAAAAAACCTTTTTGCACATGCACATAGGCGTGATTGCACATCCTTGTAGATCCATGCGTGTGCGGAATCAAATGTTCAAAGCATTGCGTGAGGGAGGCATAACAGTAATTCCGACCAACAGGACAGCCCAAGCACAACTAAATTCTTCTTTCGTTTTCTGTTCTGACCCACGCTTGCAAGGCCGGACTAAACGAGTCCCGGCCATCCCCCTTGCCACTGAGATCATGCTCACTGGAGGGACTATTTTGCATGTTGAAAGACCCATCCTCCCTCCAGCTCCCATCCCATTAACCGATCGTCCTTCAACTCACGGGTCATTCAAAACATTGAAGTGTTTTCATGGCGCTGGATCGGGGTTCTGCAGCCTCATTTTTAAATGCGTTTTTAAGCGCATATTGAGTAGTGATTTTTTAAAAATCGTGCCCGTTTGGGATGGTCTGATGTCAGACCACCCCAACGGGAGGATTGCGCGCTGGTGGAACGATCAGACAGGTGAAAGTCCATGGTTGTCCCGTCGGGACCCAAAAACTCTAGATTTAAAGTGGTATCTTTTAAGTACGGCTCCGAAGTGCGGCATGCCACTGGGTACCTGTTTGGCCCTTTATTTTTCCTGGATTCCCAGCTTTTATTTTTCAGTTCAGTTCTATTTATTGCATATGGCCAATGGCCGTTACAAGTACAGTACAATACAAAAGAGTTATAAAATGCAGAATAGAATCTGCGTTAAAACACAGAGAATAAAAGTATATATGTCTGACATAAAACTGGTTAAAATAATACAAGATAAAAATTAGAACAGCTTTTATTTTTAAACAGGCAAATATCTAAGCCTTTTAGATTCAGAAGTAGAAAGCCAAATGTACAGATCATTTTCTACCTAATTTATGTAATAAAAAGAGGCTTGTACTACCTTCCCTTTGTTCTAGCCAATGAGGAAGGTCACAGTTAAGAGTGACTGATACGTATGGGAAGAGAAAGCTTTGCTTTCACTGAATTTGTTGAGGGCCTGCAGTTAATTCTGTGTTTTCTGCTACATCACTTTTAACTGGCTTCAAAGAGTAACTAATATTAAAGAATAGTATCTCACACCTTTATTTCCTGTATTTCCAAACTGTCCTCCCTTTCAAATGTACTGTAATAACAACTGTAAGGTAAAGGTTTCCCTTGCTCAAAAGCCAGTCGAATCCGACTCTAGGGTTGCGATGCTAATCTCTGTTTCCAAGCTGAAGAGCCAGCACTGTCCGAAGTTGTTTCCGTGGTCATGTGGCCGGCATGACTAAATGCCAAGGCGCACAGAACGCTGTTACCTTCCCACCGAAGCGGTACCTGTTTATCTACTTGCAATTTCTTGCTTTCGATCTGCTAGGTTGGCAGGAGCGGGAACTAGAGACGGGAGCTCACGCCGTCATGCGGCACTCGGGTCTCGAACTGCTGAACTACCGAACTTCCAGCCTGCAGTTCAGCATCTTAACCACCTGAGCCACTGCAGCTCCCTAATAACAACTGTATCTCCCTACTAAAATACAAAGAGGGAGTATTTATCAGTTCATTCCACAGCTCTTTCAGGTTGAGAGCAGCAGAAAAACAAAGTGATCTTTATATTTTCATAACAGTAAAATAATTTTAGATGGTGCATTAGCAAGTCAAATGGAGCCAAACTGGGTGGCATTACCTACTGATGGAGGGCATGGATGTAGTCCAATCTTTCAGGTGCCTTTGTCTTTGGAAACTGTGGAGGCTGGACAGAATATGGCTTATCCAAAAATCTGATTGGTTTCTTTTTACACAGCCCAGTTTCAAACTTTTTTTAAAAGCTAGGATTCAGTAACAATCTGAGTGCTCACAAAAATGTTGAAGTCCAGACTAACCTTTCTCCATAGTGGGATTCTCTTCCTTCTACTAATTTTGTTTGAATTATACCAATCATTTTAGCAACTGTTTATAGCTACTCTGATGATCCTTAATTTCCTGATATTGTAAGATACTCCTTTTGTATACTGTTAAATTAGGTTTTCCTATTTATTAAACTGCAATTTGTGGTTGCTAAATAGATAATCCATTTTACCTGCTCTTCCAGTTGTGTCTCCAGTTGGTTGATCAGTTCATCCTTTTCTTGTACTCTGTTCATCAGCTCCTGGTATTTCTTATGTTCACTTGATTCACTTGTTTTCATGTTTGCAAGTTTCAACTTCTCTTCCATCACTTCAGCCTGAAAGATCCATTCACATAGTCATTGTAAGCATTATAGCTGGACCTTGGTGAAATGAACAACTAATTTAGTAATTGGTTCCTATTCAGGGGAACTCTTAGGGAATTGTCAAAAATTTGTCATTCTTAATAGTTCCATGATCAGAACTTTGGGACTCATGATGAAAACATCACATCAGAGGGCTGAAAGAAGAAAGTTCAGGAGAAGGGCATTAACAGAGGTGCCTGTAATCACACTATATTGGGACAGGGAGATTATCCTAAGCATACAAAATGGCATACAATGGCATACAATATGACAGCTGGAATGGCATACAATATGACAGCTGGAAGCCCCTTTAAATTTTGCAGTGGGGGAGAGGGGCGGCTACAGGCCACACACCTGAACTCCAAGCAGCACTGCCACTTGGAGAGGGCTTGTGGGGTCCCACCAGCCAGAAGCACTTAAAGGAACCCCTTTAAGTTCTTTTGGCCAGCAGGGACTGGCCCTGACCGCATGCCAAAACTCCAAGCCACTGCCACCTGATTGACCCCCAATGGAGAAGGCAAAGATTTTAAAAAGGAGAAGGCACAGAGCATGGGAAACTGAACTGGCAGTGGCAAGAGGAAGCAGACACCAACTCCAGACACCAACTCCTGCCAAGGTATGATAGGGTTGCCAGGTCACCCCTGGCCAGCATATAATAATATAAATACCCTTTCTGGGTAGTCAGTTGCTGGAGGAAGCAATTTAAGAAGTCTTATGAATATAGGAAACCAACTGTGTCTTGCACCAAGTCAGAGCAATGGTCCATGTGTCTGTGCCAACTGGCGGTGGCTCTGCAAGGTATTGGACACAAAGATCTTTCTAAGCTCTGCTACCTGGTCTCTACCTGGCAAGCATTATATGTGTACCAGTCAAGCACCTCTTCCGTTTCCATGATCATGTGTCTTCATCCCAACAGCAGCATTAGTCAACCTCATCTGATTATTCAGAAACCAGATTTCTGGGAATGTCAAATACCATTGGTTGTCCCAGCAAATAAATGTGCTCTCTCTCACTCCCAGCGCCTTCCTCCTCCTCTCTCTCTCTCTCCTACCAAGAGGCCATTCACTTCACTAGTCTTCTCTTTAAAAGGCCAGATGGTCCCAGGAGCCTTCTAGTCCTCCTCAAAGGTCTACACTGGCAATGCCATGCCAGCATTTCTCCCAGCCTGCTTCCCAATATATGCATGAGAGTAGTTTTATGCTCCGAGTCCGCTTTATGGCGGCGCGCTGAGCAGTCGCACCTCCCGGACCTCCCAGGGGTGAAGCTGCGCTCTAGCCGAAGGAGGGGGTGCGCAGGATCATCACCCCCCCAGAGACCCGGCTGAAGAAGCTCTGGCCATGAGACTCTCGAGGGGTTGCCTCTTCGCCAGCGCGATGTTGGGGAATTGAGGCGCCTCTCCATCCCGAAGGTTCTTGGTGCTATGAGACCGAATGGAACCAAGCGACGCTGACTAGGGCAAGCGCAGGAGGTCGAGCGAAAGAAACAGAGCTTAAACGAGGTCTGAGGACCAACTATGAACGTGAGTTCAATCTAAGCGTTTAAATAAAAGGAAAAGAAAGCTCCCCAAACCCCCCACGGAACAGAAAGTGAGGCGAGTGGGGGAGGGACGCCTCCCAAAAGCACGTATTGATAAGCGAATTGGAGGGGGGGGGAGCGGAAGAAAAAGCAAATAAAACTGTTAAGAAAGACTTACCAAGGCGAGTTCGAGCATACAAGCACATTTTCAGAGACTTTTAAAATATCAGGTAAAGTAAACAATCCACAAAGATGGCGGGGAAGAGGACGGAGAAAGAGAAACTTTTAAAAGTGAAAGGGACTGAGAGCCCAAGACCGGAAGCAACCAGCGAGCTGGCAAAGACATTGGCAGAATCCATGCGCTCTCTGCTGGACCAGATGAATAATCTCAAGCAGCAGCTGTCAACAATGAATCAATGTATCACCACCCAGCAAACACAGTTGAGTGAGCCACTTAAAATGATGAATCAAACAGCTGAGAAGGTGAAAGAAGTGGACGCCACTGCACAAAACGTGAAGAAGAAAGTACAAAAGCTGGAAAAGAATCAAATCTCCACGGAAGATCAGCTGTTACAACTACAAATGGAAAAAGCTAATTTGATTCTTCACTTTCAGGGCCTTCCAAGAGACTAAAGGAGAGAATCTGAAGGAGAAGATGAGTGAATTATTTGCCCCAATGACAGAGATGAAGGTGGAATCTTTGCTGAGTAATATGGATGTGGCCTACAGGTCATATTCAGGATATATAAAGAAAAACAATCTGCCTGGGGAAATAGTGATAAATTATCGAAGAAATTTGTGAGGAATGCAGTCTTGAAAGCGGCATCTGGAGCTCCTTTGAAAGTTGGAGATAATGCTATCAGAATTGGATACAGATGGCTAACACCATAAGACGTGATCTTCAAAATCAAGGATAAAAAGATTGACTCTGTTCAGAAAGCACGGAAATTTTTGAGAGTCCAGATGGGAGAGCCAGAGGAGGAAGAAAAGGAAGGGATGAACAGTAAGTCCAGCGACGAGCTGGACTCGGGGTCTTCCGGAGAGGACTCTCTATCAGAGAAAGGGGCAGTCGCCCCTAAAAGTCCTAAAACTGCAGAAGAGACTGGGCAAGGGGAAATGAAGGCTGAAGGACTCTGAATTGTGCCTTTGAAAAACTTTTTTTATATATACTAGATGCTTAGGGGTCTTTCGGGTTAACAGTGATAGTTAAAATATGAAAAAGATAACACTATAGTTGAATCAGTTCATAATGGGAATAGCATGATTAAGTGATAACGTTTGCTAAGCTAACTAGATGATCTCCTCTCTTGGGTTTTTAGATAGTAGTGGGTATCTTTTCTTTACCCCTTAATGTAGTCCCCTTCCCTATTTCTGTTGTAGTTTGTAGTCTTTATAAAAATGCAATTAAAAAATCCCTTCCGGGGGGCAAAAAAAAAAAGAGAGAGAGAGAGTAGTTTTATGCTCCAATGGAAATTCCTCACCCAGAGCTGCAGAAAGCTGTGTTTTGTCCTCTTGTCTGTCTGCATTAGAAAGAGAGGCAAATGTCCTCTCTCCTGCACTGAACCAGCCAGACAGTTTAGCCTGCTGAATGTGTTTATATTAGAGCTCAGGATAATTACAGCTGAAAGAGAGAGCCTCTCCCACCTCTCCGGTGTCTAAGCCCTCTACATTGGTAGGCGAGGGCGGGAGAGGGGCTTCCTTATTTGATGATAGCAGCTGCAAGAAGCACATTGAGCGAGGCATCCAAACTTCTGAATTCATGTGGTGAAAGAAAACAGCAGCTTTAAAATACAGCATGTAGCCCTTTTATTTCCCAGATGTCTTGCTCAGTCTTAATATCCCTGGTTAGTGGGATGGAAGCTCCACATATACTTTCTAAGCACGTCAGATTTAATTAAAGCATTTTTCAATTGCTATCTTCTCCTTGGATACCAAGATAGGTGGTTCCATTACTAGCAACTTCTAAGCCTCCATGGGGCTTGATTCACATCTCCAAGCTCAGCCAGAACACTGAACTGGTGGTCTGGGCTAGGATATATCATACCTCTCACTCCCCCACCCACCCACCCAGTACTGGAAGGTAGAAATGTATGTCACTCTACCTGAAAGCTAGAAGTCTTCAGATAACTAGACATTGGGGTAAGCAGAAGCAGGGGTCATTTGGGGGGGGGACGCGGGGGGACGCCATCCCCCCGGGTGAGGTGCGGGAGGGCGGGGCCTGGAGCTCCCTGCTGGTGCCCGCTGGAGGTCGCCGCCGGCTGTGGGGAGGACACACTTCCGGTGATGTCAGGGGGTGTGGCATATGCTAATGAGTTATGCTAATGAGTCCCCCTAGCTCTTTTTCTACGAAATGACCCCTCAGCAGAAGTATTGTAATACAGGCTTTATAGGAAAAATGAAATAGATTAAGGGGGAGACAATGTCTAGAGCTGGACAATGGAAATTCTACTGTGCCATCAGGGGACGTACAAGGACTTGTAGGGTACATCTCACTATTTCCTCTTTTTGGGGGGTAAATTTTTGTGTGTATGTGTGTGCTTGTGTGCCTGGAAGTCATGGTAACGTCTGGCAACCCCTAGTAGGGCTAGGACATTTCAGAGAGTTGGCTAGGACATTTAGCTAGTAGGGCTAGGACATTTCAGCCTGCCTCTGCGTCCCAGCCCTAGTATTCCTTGGAGTACACCCTTCCAAGTACCTGCCAGGGTTGGCCCTGCTTAGCTTCCAAGATCTGATGAGATCAGACTTGCCTGGGCTGTTCAGGTCAGGGCCTCACTATTTCCTCTTCTTCTCTCCTAAAAGCCCCCATGGCCCCTTTTCCTGCCTCCTTCTCTCCTTCCAACCCACCAGCCAACCTATGTTTATCTCCCACACACAGCCATCTTCAGCTTTCCCACCTCTCCCTGGGAAAAATCTGGCCAAGTTGTGCAGTGCCAGCTGCCAGCTTCAGTTGAGTGGTGAGGAAACCACAATGACTTGCATAGGGCACCTCATTTCCCCCTGTATCCCCTGTCCACATCCCCTCCCCACACTATTGCCTCCTTCCCTTCTCCTAGCAACACCCACATCCTCACCTTTCCCTGCTTCCTTCTCTCCTTTCCACTCCCCAAACTTATATCTGCCCCCATCTTAACTATATTTATTATTTATTTACATTTATTTTATACCTCACAATGGGGACTCAAAGCAGCTTACATGATTCTACTCTCCTCCATTTCATTCTAAGAACAACTCAGTGAGGTAGGATAGGCTGAGAAGGTGTAACTGGCTCAAGAGCACCTAGTGAGCTTCCATGATAGAGCGGAAATTTGAACCTGGTTGTCTGAGATCCTTTTCTGAAACTGTTAACTACTTCTACATATTTGCATTTATGAGGCTGCTGCTATTGAACAGTAGAAAGCAGCCAGGCGTGGGTGAGTCATGCAGCTTGCATGGTATCGAATCACCCAGTGCCTGGTCTGGCCCCAGTGTGTCCTCCCTCAAAGGTCAAAAGAGTCCTGGAAAGAGCTCTACCCCACCCCCATCTTTTACTGACAGAAAGTAGGATTTCTAGCAATGGCCACTGAGGGCATCTGTTTCTTTTTCTTTTTTCTTTCAGATTTCAGTTTTTTTTCAGATTTCAGATTGCAACAATCTGAAATATATCCTAGAAGAAGTCAAGTTTTAATGAGAAATGGCTCCCATTCTTGGAATATATCCCAAAAACAGAATGCCAACCATACAATCCAATCTATCTCACTTTTTTACGCTCATAAAGCACGCTTTGTATAAGCGATACCTCCAGAGGTCATTTCGCCCCTGCTTCTGGCCGCCCCGCTTCCAGCCCTCATTTAGCCAGGAGGAGGCAGGAGAAGAGGGAGGGTAAGTTGCTTCCTCCCTGCCTCTCCCCACCCCTGCCTGCCTGGGGCCAGGGAGGGCCTTCGCGGGGCTTCCTTGCACTCCCACCGGCCCTGCAGGTCCACCGCCAGGCCCCTCATGGGCTCGGCAGTGGAGCTGCAAGGCCGGCACCGGCGGCCGGGACCGTTGGGGGCAGGGTGTGTGACCTTATGACACATTTCCGGTGATGTCAGGAGGTGTGGCCTTATGACACACTTCCGGTGATATCAGGGGGTGTGGCACATGCTAATGAGTTATGCTAATGAGTTCCCCTAGCTCTTTTTCTACGAAATGACCCCTGGAAACCTCTATAGTTCAAACACCTCACTGACTAGTTGTGAATTCTTGCATCAACTCTTAGATACCACACAAATTAGTTAAAAGCGTATTACATACACTTTTCACGCTGAATCTAGTTTAAAGTTTGATTAAAAGTATTTGTTGTTCTTACATATTGTAACAAATCTATAAGCGTACGATGAGTTTAGTGATTTTGATATGATCCGTTCTCGATGTGTATCATTATATATACCTGTGTTTCTTTTTATATAGGTGAAAAACAATAAAAATATTTTTTTAAAAAGATTTCAGGTTTTTCTGCAAACCTGGGGCTTTTCTTAGACTTGCAGAGATTTGCCTTGTCTGTTCATGGCTCCAGTTTCCAGTTAAGTATACATAGATCTGGCCACACTGAGTATTAGATATATCAAAAAGTGGAGACAACCAAGATGCTTGCGGGAGCAGCTATCCATTCCTCCCATCTATGCTTACCTCTCCCACTGCTTCTCTGTCTCTCACGCTTTCTCCCTCTGACCTCATGTTCTCTTACTTTCTCTCTCCTCCATGCCTGTCACTTCCTCTCTCTTTCTGCTCCCTCGCCCCATCACTCTCTTTCTCTCTTTCTGCCCCCCCCCAGCAGCACCAGTGGTAGCAGTGCTCCCAACCACCCACCTGTGGCGTGACTCTCCAGGAATCACAACGGATCTCCCAACTACAGCGATCAGTTCCCCTTAGGATTACTAGTTCCAGGTTGGAAAATTCCTGGTAATTTGAGGGTGGAGCCTTGGGAGGGTGAGGTTTGGGAAGGGAAGCAAGCTCAATAGGGTATTAAGTCATACACTCCATCTTCCAAAGCTGCCATTTTCTTCAGGGGACCTGACCTGGGTAGCCCAGGCTAGCCCGATCCCATCAGATTTTGGAAACTAAGCAGGGTCGGCCTTGGCTAGTATTTGGAAGGGTGACCCCCAAGGAATTCCAGGGTCATGACACAGAGGCAGGCAATGGCAAACCACCTCTGAAATGCCTCTTGCCTTAAAAACAAGTCTAGCTCACCACCTAGTGGTGCATAACGCATAACGCTACAGAGATAGAACTTCTGGCTGCCAGACAATCTTAGGATCTCCTGGCTTTCTACACACAATGCCACATGATAATTAATGAACGAATTCTCCATGGGAATAGATCTCTGTCCCATGGAGAGCAGTTGTAATTCCAGGTGGTCTCCAGCCCTCACCTGAAGGTTGGCAAAGCTAGTTTTTCTAGAGGAAATGGCTGCTATGGAGAGTGGCATATATGGCATTAAACCTGTCTGAGGTCCCCCACAAACCCCACCATCCCCAGGCTCCACCCCTCAAAACTCTAGGAGTTTCCCATCCTGGAGCTGGCAACCCTATCTCCTCACTCAACAGCCAACCTACTTTTGTCTGCCCCTTTGTCTTCAGCTTTCCATCTCCCTCTGCCCCTGCAGCTTCCACCGATGAGAACTATGGTCTTTCTCCACAGTGAGGACCAAAGCAGCTCACATTATTCTTTCATCCTTTTTTCTGCACAACAACCCTGTTAGGTAGGTTAGGCTGGAAGTATGTGACTGGTCCAAAATTACCCAGTGAGCTTCCAAAGCAAGTAGGGGATCTGAACCCGGGTCTCAAAGACCATGTTCTAACTGCTACACCATACTAGTATTCATTGAGTAACTGCTATTGAACAGTAGCAAGCATCCAGTTCAGTCATGCAGCTCAGGTGGTATCAAGTCACCTAGAGGGTGCTACCAGGCCTAGGGTTGTCAGCCTCCAGATGGGGCCTGGAGTTCCCCCAGAATTAAAGCTGAACTCCAGACAACAGAGATCTGTCCTCCTGGAGAAAATAGCTGCTTTGGAGGGTGGACTGTGTGGCATTATACCATGCTGAGGACTCCCCTCCTCAAACCCAGCCCTCCTCTGACTCTACCACGAAATCTCCAGGAATTTCCCAACCTGGAGCTGGCAACCCTAGCCAGGCCTGGGCCAATCAGTCCTCATTCGAAGGCCAAAATAGGCCCTTTCCCCCTGCCTTTTACTCACAGAAATCAAAGCCTGGATTGCTGTGGTTGCCTAGCAACAAACACTAAGGGAATCTGTTTTTTAAAGCCACAAGCACTCCTTTTATCATTTTTGTGGTTTTTAAAGCTCCTTAGGGAGCTTTTTAGATTTCACATTTTTCTGCAAACCTGGAGCCCTTTTCAGGTTCATAGAAAGACTTGTCTTGCTCATTCAAAGCTACAGTCACTAGATTTAAGTATCCAAAGATTTAGCCAACTTTGGGCTTAGAATATAAGATGATATTATTATTATTATTATTATTAATAATAATAATAATAATAATAATAATAATATCCCACCTAGTATATATTTCTGACACCAAGTTCTTCACAATGTCTGCCTATTTTTATCCCACCTTCCCAACAATTATCAGGGCAACATACAGGATTCTTCCCTCCCAGCATTTTGTCTTCATACCATCCCTATGAGGTAGGTAAGTGAGAGGGTGACTGGCACAACGTCACACAGTAAGTTTCATGACCAAGTAGAGATTTGAAATCAGGTCCCTCGTGTTAGTCCAGCCACCACACTACACCAGTGTACACTGAGATGTTCCTAATCATACTGGAATGACCACTAGCGATATCATACTGAAGCACTTGCTGTGATGGAAACAGATTTTTTTTCCAGGGTTGACAGAAAATGACACTACTCATTGTACAGGTATCCTACTTTAACCTCCAATAAACAGATTTTGCAGGTTTTTGTATTATTTCAAAAACATGTAAAACCTGTTTGGCAGGAAACAACAGAGGGGCAAGAGCAGGGGTCATTTCCTGCAGGAGTGCACAGGAGTGGAGCTCTGGCAGTAAAGAGCCAAGGGGTGGGCACGTGCAACAAGCCCTGCCCCTGCTCCCAGCAGCCCCAGGCCACGAGGAGCAAGAAGCAGATAGGTAAGTTGCAGTGGGTGTTGTCTTCCGGTGATGTAATAGGGTGTGGCATATGCAAATATATTATGCTAATGAGGTATGCTAATGAGCTCCTGCACCTCTTTTTCTATGAAATGACCCCTGGGCAAGAGGAATATATGTGTACACCATGAGGATCAATGGCTTTCAATGCTTTTAAAAATTACTGTGCATCTTCAGACACTGAATATTCAGGAACCCCATATAAGAACAACTTCTTTTCTATTACATAGCTTGAGCAAGTATCTTCTGGAGATGTCAGCATAAGATGTTTTTGAAATCTTATGGAAATGACGATTTCATGGAACCTCTTACCTGTTTCTCTGCACTTTGGGCTCTCTGTTCTGCTTCAATCACTCTCTGCTCCAGTTCCTGCATCTTTGGAGCAAAACATGAGAACAAATGTTAAGCAGTTTAAAATGATAAATAGATACTGTACAAAAAGATAAGCCCTGCCCATAAGTTTACAATCTAAACAGACAATGCAGATTGAATAGTGGGAGGGGATATAAAAGTAATAGGGGTGAACATATTCAAGAATGAGAAAAAGAACATTTCCTTTTTAGAGCCAACACTGTCTTTCACAATGGGATTACAATCATTCTTAGAGCTAAGTGGTTGCATCTGCTCTGGAACCTTTAATACAGAAAGGCCTATGACAATACAAACCTTATACCCGAGTATCTGGTTTTCAATGGCCAGTTTATACCAGAAAATCCCTGCAATCAGTGTTCCCTCTAAGCTGAGTTAGTGTGAGCTAGCTCACAGTTTTTTAGCCTCTAGATCACACATTTTTGTTTTAGCTCAGGAAGGATAGTTCCAGAGCAAACTAATTTATGCAGCAGCCAAATCACTTGATCACAACTTTAATGCCAGTAGCTCACAAAGTAGAATTTTTGCTCACAAGACTCCACAGCTTAGAGGGAGCATTGCCTGCAATTACCCTAAGCTTTTGCATACTTCTCCTCCTGTTCACTTAACCTGTATTTGTGTTTCAATACGTATCACTGAATTGTAGTTCAATTGTACTGACAGGAAAGGTCCCATTTTTGGTGATCCTAAGTATAGTTTTCCATATTGGCAGATATACATAGTACCATGCTGTGATTCCGACTCAACGTTAATTCTGAAAAAACAAATTAAACTAGCTACAACTATTATTTCAGATAAGATATCTAAGTTATGTTTTAATCCTCGTTCTGTTGAGGAGCTACTCAGGCGGCATCAAAGTTAGAGAAGCGTTACTGAGAATTACTAGAGTATTTATGGGTCAGGGAGGTAAAGAAGTATTACTCAGCTAGTTACATGGCTGAGGAGAATGAAGAGAACACAAATTTACATTGGACAAAACTAGCCATCTCTTTGTTCCCTTCCAGAGGCATTCAGCTGCACAAAAGCCTTAGTGAAGATATAAAAAGAAGGAAATGAGCCAAGGATGGGGATAAGAGGGATGGATGGTACATTGGGAAACTGTCTGCAAACGTGGGATGAGTTGAAGACAGAAAGTAAAGAGTCTCAGGAGTGATGGGGCAAAAGGAGGCCAACCTTCCAAGAAAGCCACTGAATTAATGGACTGCAGTCATGGATGGCCAAAGACTGATGCCCCAAAACTCATTAGCAACGGGGTCATCATGCTGCTATGGCAACAGTCTACCATGTGAATCATCAACAGAATATTACTCCTCTTTTCCCTTGGATACACAACAGTGTGGGAGGGAAGAGTTTAAAAGAACTCTTGATACCAAGAGATTCTGGAATGTATTTACTACAAATAGATGTGTTTAAATTTATTATGAAAAGCCCATAAGTATCCTGAAACAGGTACTTTGGAAATCCTGTATACATACAATGACATCAAAACCCAGGCATTTACACTAAAATCAAAGTAAGGCTCAAACTATCTCTTTACAAATTAATCAGATTTGGCTCTATTTTTCCCCTCAGACTTTTTCTTCCCCCTGAGAGGCCCCACAGCTCATTTGTAATAGGGTCATCATGCTGCCATGGCAACAGTCTGCCATGTCACTCATCAACAGAATATTGCCCCTCTTTCCCCTTGTGCGCAACAGTGTGAGAAAACTAGAAAGCTGAAGTAAATTCCAGCTACTAAACACACACTGCCTGCTGGTGTATGCACTCTTAAACTCCAGTATGCCTTAATTTCCATTAAAACAGCCTATTCTTGTAAAGATCGGCTTTGTGTCTCTCCCAAGGCCCTCAGCAGAGTGCAAAGAGCTCATTTTTAAGACTGCATTTTGCCACTCCACATATATTTATTAAGGACTTATGGATGGGTTGCATAGGCATATGTATTGACTTCTCATTACAGAAGCCCTGTTTGTTTATTTAGATATTTATGCCCCACTTTTACGTTCACACCATCTATGTGTAGAGTGCAAAAGAGCAGGACTGCTGTGGCAGGCTCCAGCCCCAAACTCCACAAGCTCATATGGGGTCTTCAGCACAAAGCCTGCAGTCAAATTGCACAAATGCTGGGTCTGTCCACAAGATTCAGAACCCTGCAAAAAGCAGGACCCCAGATCACTCATACAGTGCGTACAAATAAGCGTAGAGGTGCAGAGGTTCTGTTCAGAAGAGCTTACAAGTGTCTGGAGGTTGGTTGTGCTCCTATTACAAATGAGCTGTGGGGCCTCTCAGAGGAAACACTGAGAGAATCAGTTCTTCAACAACCTCAACTCAATTAATTTCCAGCACCAATGAATCAATTAAGTTCCAGAACCAAGGCAAAAATATCATTTTAAGCAGACTGTTGGTTGGTACAAGGCAAAGATTTCCCCACTCCTTCCATCTTTGACAAGAGCTGGGGAGATGGAGCCTGTAGCTGCTTGCTCTTTGGCCTTTGAGGAAAAACACATGACAAAGCCATATAGCCAGTTACAGAGTAACCTGATCATTGAACCAAACTGCTCCCTAATCGCAACAAAGAATCCAGTAGTTTGACACCCCCACCCCCACTGGATTAACCCTGGAGTCTCCATTTCCCTCTCTAGAGGGTCCCCAATAAGTCAGGTGCTCTGCAGGCAGACTTATTGTGTGATCACCATTCAAAAGAATTTTTTTGCAAAAGCACTGATCGGTTGACGATTTAATCCAAGGATTTACAAGGAAACAGGATTTGAACACACAGTACACATACACACACTGTGAGAAATAATGTCTTAATGTATATTTCTATTATGTTCCTACTAATTTATTTTTTAGAAATTGTACTGAGAAGAGGCTCAAAATTTATAACAAAATTGACAAAAGTTACCTTGCCTTAGTTTCTATATTGCATTGTGATAGACAGTTTTCCTATAATTTTTCTGTACAGCACTGTACCAATTCTAAGTTGAAACTCTTGGTTTTTACAACACAATATGGATTTTGACATATATGCCCCCCTGTCTTTAGCATCAATAAGTGTGAGGACCACAACCTTTGTTTTTGGCTGATACCATCCTGAGACCTACCCAGATGCAACAAATATTGATTATAGTACATAACTCTGGCCTCACCTTCTCAGCCAGCAGTTCCCGGATCTTACTGGCTTGCAGGCGGAATTTGAAGAGCTGGGTTTCCAATGCAAGGCACCGTTTTTGCCAGTCCATGCAGCTGCCATTCTTGACTGTGAGCTCTGCCATTTTTAAGCCTCTCCTTTCCCCAGGCTGGCCTCTCCAGGTACCCTACATGATCAAAACAAAAGATGGGGAAAGGACAGAAATGTAAAGTTTCATACTTACTGTTCTTGCAGATTTCTTTTCTCCACAGAGTAAAAAAACTGCAACATTAAGTTTCCCCCCCCGAAAATGTACATAGTAGACAAACAAAGCAGTAGTAAATCATGTTTGACAAAAAAAATCAAGGACACTTTTCACTAAGGGTTAATTCACACATGCATATTCATCCTTTGAATACATATGCATTTATTCACAAGGAAGCTTTTCAGTTGTGATGCTTTTCAACTGAGCCAGTTCACACATTTAGCTGCCAGTCTAATAATAATAATCCTAGAAGATCCTGGAAGCAGGATCTTCTATAAAGCAACCAGAGCAGGCACATTAGCTACCAGAAAACCAGCAACATAAAAAAAAAAAGGTCTCAAGAACAAAACAGAAGTATCATGCAATGTTATTTTGAATCAAGGCCTGAACAGCATGAAATATGGAAAGAAAAGTGTCACGGTTCTACCATCACTGAACAGTGACTAGCAGATCAGCACCATTTTATCATGCAAAATGACTTTAACTTTTTCACAGCAACAGAACTAAGTGAAATAAGGAACACCAGCCATTCAAAGGAAGAAAATGAAGAACAAAAAATAAATGAAATCATCCAAGAAGAAGGCCATAGAAATGAAGCTGCTCTTGAATGTCCACTAATTAAAAGAGACAGATTGACAATACAGGATCAGCTCACCTCTGTACAGGAAGAACTGAAGGCAAAAATCTTACAGCATATTAACAGCAAAGAAGACAGACAAAAATTACCTGTGCTCAGAACAACATCAAAGGAAGAACTTGCAAGTCTCATTGAAAATATCAATGCAGCAATTGAAAGAATTCCTACAACCAACATAACTGAAACCAGCCAGATGATGTACAGTGCAGCAGTTGTAGTAACAAGAGCACTGGGAATGGACATTAAGAAAAAGGCAGTTAAGGATTTTAAGGTGAAACCAAACTGGCAAATGAGATTGGAGGGAAAGAAATCAACAAATGCTGTTCAGACTTAAGCACCCTAAAGGAATTTTAAAAAACGAAGTATGAAAGAAGAAAAGCAAACCTCAGGAAGAAATATCAGTTAGATCAATTGCCCAAGTTGCAGAAGCAATCAAACAAAAGAATTGTTGCAATACCCCAAAAAATCAAGAGGTACAACAGTAGGATCCAGCAATACAGACAAAACTTCCAATTCCTGACTAACCAAAGACAGTTCTACAAATCACTATGTGGAGATGAAAAAGTAGAAGTAAAACCAGAAAAAGAAAAGGCAACAACTTTCTGGAAAGAACTCTGGGAAGACTTGAAAGAATACAATAAAAAAGCCAGCTGGATCACAGATGTGGAAAACAAACTGAAAGGAAAGCAAATGAAGGATCTTACAATAACTCTGGAAAGCTTGCAAAAACAATTGAAGAAAGTAAAGAACTGGACAGCGCCTAGAAGAGATGAAATCCCCAGCTATTGGCTTAAGAAGCTGACAAGTCTTCATCCACAATTGGTGCAACAGCTTAATGATGTGCTCTATTCCAAAGTAGTAGAAGATTGGCTAACAACTGGCAGGACATCTCTCATTCTGAAGAATGAAGAGAAAGGAGCAGTGCTAAGTAACTTCTGCCCCATTACCTGCCTCTCAGCAACTTTTAAACTACTGACAGGAATTGTAGCCAATTCCATTCAAGAATCTCTACAGCGCAATTCAATTTTGCCACATGAACAAAAAGGAATTTTCCGAAAAGTCAGAGGCACTAAAGATCAGTTACTGATCGATAAAATAGTCTTACAAATTTGTAAAAGGCAGAAAACCAACCTGAATGTTGCTTGGATTGATTACAAGAAGGCATTTGATTCACTCCCTCATACATGAATCCTGAAAATGCTAGAAATGATAGGCATCAGCAAAACTGTAATAATGTTTATTGTATAATGCTTGTATTATATAATTGTATAATATTGTATAATGCTGTAAGTAAATGGAACACCAAATTAATAGTGAATGGAGAAGAAATTGGAACAGTTAATATTAAACAGGGAATTTTCCAAGGTGACTCACTATCACTGCTGCTCTTTGTCATTGCCATAATACTATTCACAATCATTCTCAACAGCACAGGCCTAGGGTACCAGCTTTCAAAGACAGGCCCACAGATTTCACACTTACTGTATATGGATGACTTGAAGATGTATGGAAAGTCATAATCAGAGACTGATTCTTTACTCAATACAGTTCAAATATTCATCAAAGATAAGCTGGCCTTGACAAATGTGCAGCATTAGCACTGAATAGAGGAAAGATCATTGAACAAGAAGAAATCATGATACCAAACAACAACAACATCAAAACACTGGGCTTTGAAGAAAACTACAAATATCTTGGAATTTTGGAAGCTGACAACATCGAACATACCTTTGTTAAGAAAAATACAATCAAGAAGTACTACCAAAGAGTTAAAAGGATATTGCAAACCAAATTAAATGGAGGCAACCCGGTAAAGGCAATTAACACATGGGCAGTCCCAGTTCTAAGATACACAGCTGGCATTATCGATTAGAGACAAGCAGAATTAGAAGTAATGGATCGCAATACTCACAAGATAATGATGATGCATCACTCACTACACCCTAGGAAGTGATGTTGATCTTCTTTACTTACGAAGAAAATTAGGTGAAAGAGGTCTCATGACCGTTAAGCAAGCAGTTGAAGAAGAAAAACAAGCACTGAATGACTACACCAAGAAAAGCAAAGATAAGCTTTTAGTTGAAGTATACAAGGCAGACATTTAAGGTTACAGAAACCAAAGAAGATTACAAAAAGACTGCAATCAAAACTCACTTTGCCAACTGAAAACAAAAGCACTTGCATGGGCAATATTTGAAAGACATAGGCCCCGGTCACATGGGAGGTTTTGGCCTGGAAGAGGGGCGGATTGGGGGCGCAGCAAACAGGCGCTATCAAACCGCAACATCTGGGAAGCGGCGCGCACCCATCCCCGATCCGTCCCTTCAGTTGGAAAACCCGCTGCAAAAAAGAACCTGCAAAAGAGCAGGACTTACCTGACGCGGCGCAGCAAGCGCGGCCGTGAGATCGGCGGTGCGCCCATCTGCAGGAGCAATCGAGGCTCCCAGCCGATCTGCGCATGCACACACATGCGCAGCCGGCTGCCTCACTCTCTCTTCAGTGGCTTCCCCCTCGGCATCTGATTGTGCTGGGGAGGAACTGCGTGGCGGCTCAGGGGATCTATCTGATCCCGCCGCCGTGTGTCTTTTTTGTTGCGGTTCTAAGAAGCCGTTCTTTTTTCCCCCGTGTGGCAGGGGCCATAGAGAACAAAGTTGATAACAAAAACTCCTGGAAGTGGCTTCAAAATGGCACTTGAAAGAAATGGAAGGACTCATTCTAGCTGCACAGGAGCAAGCACTTGAAACAAATAGTATGAAAGCCAAGATTCAGAAGACCAGTGATAACAGCAAATGTCGACTTTGCAAGACAAAGGATGAAACAGTCGACCACATGGTCAGTGCCTACAGTAAAATTGCTCAAGCTGACTATAAAGAACATCATGATAGAGTTGCAGCTATGTTGCACTTGAATGTTTGCAAGAAGTATGGCTTACCATCAGCCAGAAATTCATGGAAGCACAAACCAGACAAGATCATAAAGAACGATGAAACAAAGATTCTTTGGGACTTCTGATTACAAACAGAAAAACACCTGGAACATAATACCCCTGATATCACAATTGTAAGAAAAAATGAGAAATAGGGTTTGGATAATTGACATTGTAATCTCAGGAGACAGCAGAACAGAAAAGAAAGAACAAGAGAAGATCACAAATTCCAAGACCTATGAATAGAATTAGAGCACCTCTGGGAGAATAAAGTTACCATCATGCCAGTTGTCATTGGAGCCCTTGGAGCAGTGCTTAGAAGGCTCAAGAAACATGTGGACATTCTGGGCATGGAGCAAATAACACCAGCGCAGCTCCAGAAGACAGTAAGAACAGCAAGAATCCTGCGAAGATACATCTGCAATTCCCAAGAATTGCATCTCGAATTGCATCTCGAATTGCAGAACACCATTTGTGGCAGAACAGTTTTGCTCCGGCCTGCTGGCCCTGTTCCACCCTGCCCTCCAAGGTTTTCCCAGCACCTGGAGAGGCTTCACTCTCTCTCTGGTAACCCACCGTCACCACCTGACCTTTGTAGGAATTGCTTGTCAGGACTCCCAGCTTCCCATCCAAGTTCTGAGGCCTTGCCTCTATGTCTCTCACTGCTCAGCACCTGGTCACCATGGGGACAGTTTACTGCCTTGTGGGCCCCTGGAGAAATAGCCGCTTGCCAACTGACTGCCTTCCCCCAGTGCTCCTTTTAAAATAGCATGTCTGAGATTGTAGAGGTCTATGTGGTACAGAGAACCGCAACCAGGATCAAATGTTATAAAGTATTTATTAAAAAGGAAATGTTTACAAGCACAGTTTTAGCACAGCACCAGATTGAGCAAGGGATAAAAAAGTATAAAAGCAATTCCTCTGTCTCTCCCTCTATACATGCCATTGCTGTTGTTAAATATAAGGTAGACTCCTTAGCTTAGAAAGTTACAGATCTCTATAGAGTTTTCATTACCTTGAAGGCTCCCTCAGGTGTAGGCCAGCACATGGCAATGGCCGCCTTCTCAGTTAAGAAGAAGAAGAAGAAGAGATTGGATTTATACCCCACCCTTCACTACCCAAAGGTGTCTCAGAGTGGCTTGCAAACTCCTTTTCCTTCCCCTCCCCACAACAGACACCCTGTGAGGTAGATGGGGCTGAGAGAGCTCTGACAGAAACTGCTCTTTTTCAAGGACAGCTGTGCCAGAACTATGGCTTGCCCAAGGTCATCCAGCAGGTGCAAGTGGAGGAGTGGGGAATCAAACCCAGTTCTCCCAG